GAGTTAGTGATGACTGCAGTAAAACTAGTACAGGATACAGTAGAGTTAGTGATGACTGCAGTAGGACCACTGCTAGATGCAGTATAATCAGTGATGACTGCAGTAGAACTAGTACAGGATGCAGTAGAGTCGTGATGACTGCAGTAGGACTACTGCTGGATGCAGTATAATCAGTGATGACTGCAGTAGAACTAGTGCTGGATGTAGTAGAGTCGGACTGAAGATAAACGTCTACCATTTCATTCCAATTCAAAAATGGAGAATAATGTGTCGGGTTGAGTATAATTAGTTTTTGTTCTTGTTTGTTATTTAGCACAAAGCTACAAAAAGGGCTATCTGTGCTCTGCCCACCACGGGTATCAAGCCCGGTTTCTAGTGGTATAAGTCTGTAGACATACCGCTGTGCTCTTGGGGTCCTTATAATTGGTCAAATTAGCATGTGAAAAGCAGTGAAAATACTCGTAGTGTAAGTATTAGTTTCAAGTAAAAGTTGTCCCTGATAATTTTAATTATTTGAGGGGACACAACTGGATGATTAGGAATGGTCAATGGTTCCGTTTTTTGTGACAATTTCTCAAGAGTATTCTTATGAGGTTTGTGACTAGCTATAAAGATTAGCGCATTTTAGTCTTATTTTATTTTGTTTCACAGTCTTAACATTTTGCTATTTTTGTGGTTATTTGTAAATAAATCTGAATAATTTTCTTTAACGTAATTTTCCCATTTCCTTGTACCCCGATGGTATGGCGATAGGTTTACGGATTTACAACGCTAAAATTCGGGGGTTCGATTCCACAAAGGAGGACATAGCAGATAGGCCAATGTAGCTTTGTTCTAAAAAACAAACAAGCAAAAATTGATTTTCGTTATTTTTCATACTAATGATCCTGAACTTCTACAACCATAGTGTATTACTGTCTTCAGTTACGTTATTAATATATATTTTCTAAACTTGTAAATAAAGAACACAAATGTAGTTGTCACCATCCTTTCATAGTTTCTTTCTCAGGAAAACAAATTTCTTAGCCCCTCACCTCCTTTATTTTGGTTTGTTGCAACCTGTTGTACGTAAATCAAGAAATAAAGAGGAACCACCAAGAACTGTATCAGAAAACATCGACCTCACCAAAGTAGGTAATAATATAGTTTTTCAGTCACATTACTGACCGACTAAACAAACAAAACTATGAACACCACAAAATATATTTCACTTTTGGACCTTCTTCCAAAAATGTCAGGCTGTACAACTATTCTAACCGTTAATGACAAAATACGTGTTTTTCAAAAGCTTCCCAATCACGAGATACAGATAATTTTAAAAACGAACGAAGGTTTTTATACGTGGTGTGTTGCCAGCCTTGGATTTGAATCACGTGGCGACAGGCCATACAAAGCGTAAACAAAAATATAAGACTATGGTAAAAGGTTAATTAAAATTTCTTTTTTAAATTATAGGTTTGTTAGTTTTTATTAAGCACATAGCTACGCAATGAGCTATCTGTGTGCTGTCCACCGCAGGTATCGAAACCCGTATTTTAGCGTTGTAAACCGGGGGTGGTGGTTAAATTATCGGGTTGATATATCTAAAACGATGTAACACTACTGCGGGTTTGTGTTAGGTGTATTTATTGCAAGACATTGTGATAAATATTACTAATTATAAAAGCAATATTGTTATTTTTTAGAAATTCGAGTTATTAGTAATGAAAATCTGAAACTGTACTTTTTTGCCTATATTTTGCCTATAAAATGATATTATGTGAATGTTCAGGCCTAATAAAAGTATTAAAAATTTGTTTATAGGTTTAGATCATATAATTATTAAAATATAATCATTAAATACTTTTTTTTTTCCTCTTGTTACAACTGTCTGCTACAACTACTCGTATTTTCTAAATATTTATCATAAAACGATTACAAGCAGTAGCCGGACAACTAAAAGATACGTTAAATTAGTTTACTGATATATCTTGTGGTATTTAATTAATAAACCTAACAGACCATTAAATCACAATTTATATTACAAGAACAAATATATTTTGATACATGTTTAGGCCACATTTGTTGGAGCCATCATCAAGGAGAACGAAAACATACAACAGTAAATTTCCAATAACACGTGGTGCGTGCCAATTTTAAATTAACAGTCTATTTAAACGAAATAACACCAAATAAACACATACACATATACAACTATACACAAGGCAAATAATTAACGTGGACATAATATATATATATATGTAGTGTTCTGACCACTACTGTATTTGTTGTATCCCAGCTGACCTGATGAGCTCTGGATTGAGCGAAACGCGTCGTCGGTAATTGATATGACGAACATAGTATGGTTGGAATTCTATTATTGTACACTCTTCTAGCCCTTGAAAATTCCTAAGGGACTAGATTAAGAACGTAGTATTTAAAAATGTAATAGGCCTAATACTAATGTCTTATGACAAGTAAAACTGTAATACACAAAATATATTGTTAAAAAATATATACATGTTTATACAATGTTAATCCAAGTACAACTGGAGGATTTCAATTCCAGGACCTTCGTCTTTATTTAAAGAAAATTTTCTGTGTTTAATTATTTCTATTATTTCTTACATCCAGTTCAGTGTAATTACACATGGAACACATTTTTTTACATTAAGAGATGGTAGTTATAATTAACAGAACGTTTCGCTACAGATGGTAAAGTGTAGTTTTCGTTTTTTACTGCAAATTTGTGTTCATTCAAACAACATTTGAGTTTATGAATTGCCCTACTGATGTAGATATATTGTTGAATTCTCACTGTTTGTCTAAATTGTTGAGTTATCTTTCAATGAATTAAGAAGATTACATGTTTTATTAAGAGGCCTGTAAACGATTTGGTAGCTAGCATATCTAGAAACGATTTTTTTACATGAACATTTGAAAGTATCGTGAGATCAAACAAATTACTTTGTTAACAGTTTATCAATGATTATCGGGTCGTATCCTCTATTTATGGCCATATGTTTAAGGTTGACTGTTTGTTGTTAAGCGCAAAGCTCACAATGGATATAGAAACCCAATTTGTGGCATTATAAGCCCTCTGACTTATCACTGAGCCACTAGGAGGTGTATGTGTGTTTCATTATAGCAAAGCCATGTCAAACTATCTGCTGTGTCTACCGAGGGCAATCGAACCCCTGATTTTAACGTTCTAAATCCAAAGACTTAATGCTGTCCCACCGGAGGACCACTAGGTGGCATTTAGGATAGTTAGTTTGTAATTGAGCACTAAGCTATACAATGGGCTATCTGTGTTCTGCCCACCACGCGTATCGAAACCCGGTTTCTAGACATACTATTGTGGTACTTTTTTTTGGGGGGGGGGGACATTTAGGATAGTTTATTTCATTGAAAAGATCCACATCGTTGGGCGAAATACAAAAGCTCTGTAAGCTCGAATATGGAACATCAACTTTTTGAGATGACAGATTCGGGTTCAGCGATCTTGAAAATGGACTCCTAGACCTCCATCGTGCCTGGGTGACCTTCAGGGCGAGTACGCCATACAAATATCCGCCCTCGGGTTACTCGAAGCTTCCCTACTAAGTTTGGTTCTGCTAGCTCTACAACTGCGGTGGGAGTTTGTTGAACAACGTATTCACAGAATGTTAATTAATTAATATAGGATAAAAGAAAGTCATCAATTATTGTGCGAGTGAAATCTCTAGCCAGGTATGATTTACTGAAGTCTCTAGCCAGGTATGATTTACTGAAATCTCTAGCCAGGTATGATTTACTGAAGTCTCTAGCCAGGTATGATTTACTGAAATCTCTAGCCAGATATGATTTACTGAAATCTCTAGCCAGATATGATTTACTGAAGTCTCTAGCCAGGTATGATTTACTGAAGTCTCTAGCCACGTATGATTTATCCTCTATGAAAATTCAACAGAATTGAAAAATGGGAATTTTCAACCTGAACAGCACCTTATGCACACGTGGGATAAACGGCTACGTCAAAAACAACTGGAGTTCAGATAGAGCTATCCATAATTTTGAACTACTGACCAGAGAAAGGACACTCAACCAGATGCACCTGCCACCCCAAAGGTTTTTTCCAGCAATTTGAACCGGATAACGAGATTTATAGTCACTTTTATAACCCGCCCACATCTGAAAGTGCGGTGCCAGTTTAACGGCATCATGTCTCGAACCTTGGACCCCCTCCTGATACGTAGACAGTCGCGCTAACATCTAAGCCACGCGCGGCCTAGAGATGCTACACACGAAACAACTGCATCAACTTTATGACCGCCCAGGCTCCCCATTGGCTCAGCGCAAAGTCTGAAGGCTTATAACGCTAAAAACCGGGTTTCGATACCCGTGTTGGATACAACACAGATAACCTATTGTGTAGCTTTGTGTTAACCGTTAAAGAAAACGACCGTCCAGCATTTTTGCTACTGAAGTCAAAATCCTATAACACTTTTAGAAAATGTCTTTAATGCGTTTTTTTATTAGTTTATCAACCTAAATATTGCAACATTACTAATTTCATGACAATAAATATTTAAGTATCCAGAAACTTGGCCCGTTTTAAAAATTAGCCTTTTAAATGACGTTTGATCGCATAAAACTTACTCTATTTATCATTGTCGTAGATCATTATAACACATGAACGTATTAATGTTATAGAGTAATCTTCTGCTTTTAATTCATGTCAAATAAAACACGTTGTCGAGACCTTTTCTTGGCGATCGACTATATTTTTTTCTCGTCTACTGTCTCTAAACGGACCTATTCTTGTCTGACGACACCAGGTTATGTCTCTAGATGTATTTGTGAACCAGAATGGTGGTTATTAATCAGTTCATAGCAGCATCAAAACGGCCGACCCGCCATAGCGATTGTGGACTTTAGTTACTATTACATTGGAATCGTTCCACTTCTCTACAAGAACGGCACGTGAATAGCGCAGAAAAAGGGTAAATAGAAGAACCCAATAATAAAAGTATTTTATGTAGCCCTCTGCCTCATCTAACCTGTCTTGAAGGTAGCGCAAACTGCAGTGGTTGAAACAGTTTTTGTCTGGTTCCCGTCACTCTTATTATCTCATGCAATCTTCAAATCTATTACAATGTCATAATTTGGCGCTGAGAAGCCGCCAAGAGAATGGGAGGGCTCATTACACAAGGTTTCTTAGGGATCCCGGAGGCCAGCATTTTGAGGGGCACAAAAGGATTCGATTTAATACGGCTGAAACGCCATTGTCCGTCGCCCGCCTGATGGCTAGGCAAGACATACTTTCTTCTTATGTAGCCGCCGCTTCATTGGTTTATTTAGAGCCCATTAGCGGAACCGGGAGCCATGAGTAATGAAGTTAAAATTAATCACCATTTAGCTGTCTTTTCTAGACATGCGGTAATAACAAAACCAGAACATCACTTCAACTATCCGTTAACATTTTTACAACTTTCTCTGTATTTGTAGAACCAAGGAAGATTTCGTCAAGGTGCGTTGTCTCTTGTCCCCGGTGGTCAGCGGTAAGTTAGGGCTTACAACGCAAAAATTCGGGGTTCGATTCCCCCGCAGTGGACTCAGCAGATAGCCCAATGTGGCTTATATGCTACTAAACAAACAAACCACTGTCTCCTTTCAAATTATATATCATTTAAGCACTTAAGCTAAGGTGAGTCAGGTGTAGCTCTGTAGTTAGCGTGCTCAGACTGTGAATCCGGAAATTTCCGGTTCACTGCCCGTTTTCCGTACTAGGACACACAAGTGTAGCCCAAGTATTTTTAACAGGCTAATTTTCTCAAAATTGTTTTTAATATATTGTTTTTGTCAAATTCTAGTAATCAGTCACGCAAGAGTAGTATTAAAGTTGGCGGTGGGTGCTGTCGACTATTGCCTTCCCTTTAGTCTATTCAAAATTAGAAACAGTTATGCACTGACTGTCATTTGCGTAGCTTTGCGCAAATATTCTAAAACAAAAAACTAAAGCCTATAGCGTTTCGTCTTTATACCTTCCCTTGCGAACCTGTTGCAAGACAACTTTTGTGCGCAGCTTCAGCGATCTTTGACATTTAAGTACCAATGTTTTTCCACTATGTGTTTTATGATTTTATAAATCAACAAAATGTTTTTTCTATGTATTTTGGTGTAAAGATTAACAAATTCGAACTGCAATAATTTTCACAACTCGAGAATTTTAAATTTTACATACGCGTCTTGTAATCTTAATAATTCAGGTTTAAATCGCGACCTTTGACTCGCGAATCTTTAAATGATTTTAAATTTGAAAATGTCAAAAAATTTCTGCTTGCTTTATACTGAACCTTGTACGTCCACTGGTTTGCCACTGTATTATTCTTTAATTTGAAAATTACAATAAACCGTTACATTTCAGAATATTTGCGTGCGTCACATAACACGTGTTTAACTGAGTAAAATCTCACATCATTTATAGGACTCGATTATTAGTCAGAAATCTAACAGCAAGGCGGTTCCTCTGCATCCCTACTGAGGGGCTAGCCTCTTATTATACGTTTAACCTCTACCGCCCTCTGCTACTGTGCTAGGCCTAATTACATCCTACTCTCAACCTCCGTTCTTATTCCCCCTATCCGTGAACACATTAATCAGATCGTAAGGTTCGTCGTACGCCCTCTACCTCCAGGGAATGATTTAGATGGGCTTCCTCAGAAAATGCTACTGTAATTAAGAGAATAAAAAGATTAACACCAAGAAGACGAACTGAACTTTATTAAGTTGTAAGCACTAATGCTATTTCAGGTGTGCTCAAACTCTCGACTTACAAACCTCAATCAAACCCAAGACATTTGCAGAGAACCGTGTGAATATATTGATATATTTGGATACAACAGACTTTTTTAAAAGTTTATTAATCACGAGTTCTTTCTGTTTATGATGAATAATATAGTTTTGAATTTTTCCCACTCATAGTTTAAATTTATAATGCAAGCAGGAACCATCTTTGGCCCACAAATGACTTAGCCAATCAAAATATTTTAGTCAGGGCCGGATGTACCTGTGATGCAGCTGGTGCAGCCCTGGGGCACTTGACTTACGGGAGACCCCTTATAAATATTTAGCTCAATTTTTGTCATACACTTGTCAGTCGACTACCTTCAGTAATAATCGACCATAAGTTGTCGTGTTCAATTTTCATTCAAATTGTAGAACACATAAAAAGTTTAAAAATAATTTCAAATGACTTGCCATCATTCGTTAAACAATTACTGTTCAGGGTGATATATCTTGATTAAGTAAAACAATATTTGTGATTTTATTATAATAAATAATTTTAGTTTTGTGTGAGACCCCACCCCAATGTGGGCGGCCCTGGCGCACGTGCCCGATTGTTAATCCGGCACTAATTCTAGTCTTACAAATCACACGATCAAAAAGAGAGAAGCAAAAGACACAGAGCACGTGACTTAAAAAACAAAGCGAGAAGTTAACATTCTATAATATTATTATTTCACTGGGTCGAGATGAAAATATATAATATAAATTTATATATATATATACACACACACAAACACACTCAATAAAATCGTGCCCACAGACTTCTCTGGGTCGCAAAAAAACACACACACAAAAGTGTACAAGGTCTGTAAATCAATTGAGCTAAAGACCTGTAGATGAATTAATCATGATATGGTCAAAATATGAAAGCAGCTGTTAACTGATTATCTGCCTAATTACATATTACTTGACTAAAAGGTAAAAACAAAAAGCTCTCCCCGTCCCCTAGCGGCTCAGCGGAAACTCTGCTAGCTTACAATGCTAAAATTCGTGTTTAGATAGCTGTGATTGGCAGATCACTAGTAGCCCCCTGTGTAGTTTTATCCTTAACAACAAACAAACCAAACTAAAAACACATATAGGTGGTCACCGAAAAGTAAAGAAGCAAAATCTTACTGATCATCCAACTTGGCAAAATCAAGCAAAACGCTTACAGGTTGTGTGACGTAGCGAAATTAAACCAAACTAGCCGTGCACCGCAAAACATTTGTGGTAGTTTCATTCCCTTCGCTTGAAGTTCCCTTATACTATCATATTCACGCTCAGCATTTACGCTACGTTTTCTTGCAGGCATTATTTGTTAGATCGATAAACTTACGCGGTCAGATAAACAAACACTTAGATGTTTGTTTGTTTTTTGAATTTCGTACAAAGCTACACGAGGGCTATCTGCGCTAGCCGTCCCTAATATATCAGTTTAAGACTAGAGGGAAGGCAGCTAGTCATCACCACCCACCACCAACTCTTGAATACTCTTTTACCAACGAATAGTGGGATTGACCGTCACATTATAACGCCCCAACAGCTGATAGGGCGAGCTTATTTGGTGGGACGGGGATTCGAACCTGCGACCGACAGATTGCGAGTCGAGCTCCCTAACCACCTGGCCATGCCGGGCCACACTTAGACGTAATTTTATTTAACAAAACCGCACGTAAAATAAAACAATAAATTATAGTACTGGAACTTATAATAGTGTACAGAGTATAAAACGGTAATTAATGTTTAGTGTATGACATGGTTTGACGAATTGGAACAAAGAAACTTACAAAAACGAATAATAATACCCGTACTAAAGAAAGAAGTAGCTAAAAGGTGTTTATAGCAATTTAAACCGAAGCTAAGTCATTGCTAAGTAAAGTAAATGTAAAGTTGTAATGAAGGTAAACTTAGCTGATTATGCAGAGACGTCTGAATGCGGGTTCACAAAGTGATCAGCATATAGTTGTGAACGAATTTTGTATGATATTTTATACCTATATAAGTCGAGAAAGCTTATAGCAATTGTATTAATGTAATATTTTTGTGTGTGTGTGTGTGTGTGTGTGCATATTTTTTAGAAAATTACACAGGGGTTAAGTGTTATTTGTGTGAAATACTTTGCAAATAAATAAACTAAATTCACGTGATGACAATGACATTGTGTCATCGTATACCATACTCGTTGCATTAAAAAGTTTGACTAAGCAAAAACATATAAGATGATTCTGAATGGAAAAAACAATATGCAATCCGGACTCCTCGGACAAAGGTCTTTCTAACGATGTGAGATTTGTAGCGTTTGATCGAGAAATTTGCGAGAAAACTTCTGGACAGACAAACGCAAGCGTATTATTTATATAGATGCTTACAAGCCATCTAACTCAGAGAAATCAAGCAAAATGCTTGTAGGTCATGTAACTTAGAGGAATCTAGCAAGCCAACAGCAATGCCCCCCCTCCCACCCAGTGGCACAACAATATGTTTGCGGACTTACAACGCTAGAAATCGGATTTCGATACTCGTGGCGGGCAGAGCACAGATAGCCCATTGTGTAGCTTTGTGCTTAACTACAAACAAACAAAACTAAATTACGGAGCACAACTAATAACTAAAATGACAATAATTTCCCTGGTTTAACCACTCGCACCAGTATACAGTCGTGTGTTGTCTGTCAGTCAGTCAGTAGACACTAAAATAACGTCACATAAGGGACGCTTAACGTTGTAATTTGTAACGTCAGTAAAACGTGCACATGCCATGAATCACGAGAAGAACTATGCACTGTGTAGGCTACAACACAACATAACATATGAACTTCAAAAGCAAAAAATAAAAATATTTGTTACTCTTAATTTTGGTTTTATTTACTCTTGAAATAGAACATTTTCAGGGATCCTGCGGAAGTACATCTGATAACATAGACATGTTTTAGTAACTCTCTATGTGTATGTTCTAGCCACAGTAAAATTTAAAAAACAACAGAAAAATTAATAATTAACAATGAGAAAGATATATGTCGTTAACTACTGAAAAAGGATTAAAAACTTAATCTCTGAACAGAATGACTTATTATTATTTTTGTTTTATGTATTGTTGTTTTAATTTACTTTGTTTTTCCACGTTAATTATTATAATGTAAAGTTAATTACCTCGTATTTTGTTCTTGGTAGGTGCGGTTTGGGTTCTTTAATCCAAATAAGTTTAATATTCCTATATATATATGTGTGTGTGTGTGTACACATTTGTATAAAGAATTGGCAAAGTCACCTGTCCTACAACAGTTCTTCACATGGTAGACAAGCACTGATCATTTCATGGTTGTTAATAGGCACGCTAGCAGACATATGGTAATTTAATTGTCAACTTTGCGATGCACGAAACGAGTAGAACGCATGCACGTGCGGTTGATCAATGATAGCGGTGCGAGGACTCCGTTAATGGGATACTACCATCTGTCGTATGGTTAACTTCGGAGCATTGTGGGTTTATATTGGATATTGATAAGTCAAGTTTTCAAACAGTACGCCCTCTACGAAATTTATTTTGTTTTAGGATAAATTTCAGAATCTCGTGATCAATACTTATTTCAATAGAACCTAGTTAGATTTACCGTAACTCTTATTATCATTATTCTTCTTCTAGTACCTAAGCTTAATGTTTCGTAATAACTTTTGTTAGGATTATAACTACTCCTTTCTATCATTTCAGTGACAGGTTTTGACGTTTCCTCTTTCCCATGACTAAATTATAATTTATATAATCTTAGGACGTGTTTCAATATGTTCCAGTTTCTCTTAGAAAGCAGCTGATTGTACAACAAATGTATTTCTTGTACTTGTTGTTTCAGTGACAGAAATATAAATCTACAAGATCTGAGTATTGACAGAAATACAAATCTACAAGATCTGAGTATTGACAGAAATACAAATCTACAAGACCTGAGTGAAGATAGAAATACAAATCTACAAGACCTGAGTGAAGACAGAAATACAAATCTACAAGACCCGAGTAAAGACAGAAATATAAATCTACAAGACCTGAGTAAAGACAGAAATACAAATCTACAAGATCTGAGTAATGACAGAAATACAAATCTACAAGACCTGAGTAATGACAGAAATACAAATCTACAAGACCTGAGTGAAGACAGAAATACAACTCTACAAGACCCGAGTAAAGACAGAAATATAAATCTACAAGACCTGAGTAAAGACAGAAATACAAATCTACAAGACCTGAGTAATGACAGAAATACAAATCTACAAGACCTGAGTGAAGACAGAAATACAAATCTACAAGACCTGAGTGAAGATAAAAATACAAATCTACAAGAAATGAATAAAGATAGAAATACAACTCTACAAGACCTGAGTAATGACAGAAATACAAATCTACAAGACCCGAGTAATGACAGAAATACAAATCTACAGAATCTGAGTAATGACAGAAATACAAATCTACAAGACCTGAGTAATGACAGAAATACAAATCTACAAGACCTGAGTGAAGATAGAAATACAAATCTACAAGACCTGAGTGAAGATAGAAATACAACTCTACAAGACCTGAGTAAGACAGAAATACAAATCTACAAGACCCGAGTAATGACAGAAATACAAATCTACAAGACCCGAGTAAAGACAGAAATACAACTCTACAAGACCCGAATAATGACAGAAATACAAATCTACAGGACCCGAGTAATGACAGAAATACAAATCTACAAGATCTGAGTAAAGACAGAAATACAACTCTACAAGACCTGAGTGAAGATAGAAATA